TATGCTAAAATCTTGAAAACTAAATTTTTTCTGACATTACAGCAATGAGAACATGCAATACAAAATATTTATGAACAAATTATTTTCAGTTATTTATTGTTAGTTTCCATATAGTTAATGGTTACTGTTCTTTTGGCACAATTGGCCATGTAATTGAATGATTTCTTCTTCCTTGTTTCAGTGAAAATGAACCAGAAAAAAGGTTATCCAAAGTTAAGCTATATGCACTATGTAAAAGTGACCCTGTGCTGCGGTATTTGCAACATTATGATCATATGTTGTATCAGGGATTAGTAGAAGTCCTTATACCAGACGTACTCCGACCAATCCCCAGTGCACTTACACAAGCTATCAGAAATTTTGCAAAGAGTCTAGAAGGGTGGCTAAAAAATGGCATGCAAGGTGTGCCGCAAGAAATGATATCAGTTAAAGTAAGTACCGATACATTTTAGTTTTTAGATTGCTGTAGTGTAAATGATTTTTTATAAGACTCCCTGTTGTTTGAAACCTAAATTGAAACTGTTTTGAAATTCTATACAAAACAGTTTACAAACTAGTATAAATAGATTGTTACATCCTAACAGCATATATATTGTAATCAACAAAATTATTTTCCTGTCCAACACATGACTGTAATACTTGTGTATCTTCCACAGTTAGGGGCAGTGAGTGCTTTCGCACAAACACTCCGAAGGTATACATCGCTGAATCACTTGGCACAAGCAGCGAGGGCGGTCTTACAAAATAGCTCACAGATTAGTCAGATGCTAAGCGACCTCAATCGGGTAGATTTTGCAAATGTCCAGGTAAGAAATTTCCTTGCTTCCTTGAATTTGCCCCTTATGTTATACCCCTTGGTAAATTGGTTTAATTATGCATCATAATGGTGTTTTACATTTATTAAAATAATGTGTGGTCATTTCCCCAGGCAGTGGCTGTCTATCTCTCACAAACTTAACCCACATGCTTTTTTTTTTTTTTTTGCGTTTGATTTTTTTCTCACTTGGTATGTACCAATTTCCTACCTGATTGGTGTCGGTGGGTAGGTGAATAGATGGATTGCTTGGTTTAGTATGAAGGCACAAAGCTTGCTGATATTCATGTTTATTTCTTGCTACATTTAATTTAGAAAACTAATTGGTCTGAATGTATTATGCATGTAACTGACATATTGATTTGCCCTACCTGTCATCAAAGTAGTGATGTCTTAGGAATGTTTAGATGTAGAACAGTTAAAATAGCTTTGTTTTTCTGTGTCTTCAAATCTCTCTAAAGTATATACTATGTGTTTTATCTGCACAAAAAAGGAGCAAGCATCATGGGTATGTCAGTGTGATGATCAAGTAGTACAAAGGCTGGAACAAGACTTCAAGATGACACTGCAGAACCAGAACACATTGGAACAGTGGGCTATCTGGTTAGAAGGTGTAGTAAACCAAGTGTTGAAACCACATGAGGGTCAACCAGATTTCCCCAAAGCAGCCCGACAGTTCCTGCTGAAATGGTCATTCTATAGGTGAGTAACACAATAATTATTCACTGAATTTTAATTTTGATGATACCATAAGTAACATCTGCTATGTAGAGATGATGTACAAGTAACTCATTGTTTTTGTGTCAAATTCATGAATGTAAATATGGTCAAAACATAAAAATGGTAGTGAAAATAAATGATTGATAGTATCTGGGGTCTACCCTTAATTAATCTACCATTCAATGTACATTAACACATTACAAGTCGTAGGAAGTGCACATAGATATTCAATACTTCTCTATGATCATGAGTTTCAATAATTTTTTTTGTCAAACATGTAACTGTTTTTCATTTATACATTCACAGTTCCATGGTTATCCGAGATTTAACTTTACGTAGTGCTGCCAGCTTTGGTTCATTCCACTTGATCCGTCTGCTGTATGATGAGTACATGTTTTACTTGATTGAACATAAAGTAGCTGCCGCCACAGGGGAGACCCCAATTGCCGTCATGGGTAAGTTGTCATATATGCAGGTGACTGATGTATTGGATCAGTACAAGTACAGTAGCTTTGCTTGGAGTGAAGATTCTATGCTCATATGATGTAAAATCTCTTCCACCTTCTCAAAATAACACCTCCCAACATACATGATTACTTCACATTGATTTCTTTTGAAAAGTAGCTTTCATTTGTGATGAAATTAAATTGCACAATTATATTCCCCTTTCAACTTAGAAATCTGATTCCCATTACAATCCTCTCCAAGTTTATCACAAATGCTACCCTTAGTGGGCACTGTATCACAGTGGTGAAAACTGTCTGTATTCTGAGACCTTAAAAGTTGTTGTGATGTTTGTTTTGTTTTGTCTTTATTAGCTGTTGATTTGTAATTTTAATGTTATTTTCACCCCGTAGAAAGCCTACTGCCCTTGGCAAATGAGTCCACAGAGTAAAATTCTTTGAAGAGAAAATGGAATTTAAAAATAAAAATAAAGGTGATTATTTTAGTAGGCTAAATAACAAGGACAACACCTGCAGTGCTTTACAAAACCTCTTTGGCCTGAATTGTCTCATGTAACCACATTGGACCTGTCAGCAACATTGATTGTTTTGTAAGGTACCACAGGATCTTTTCCCCATTTCATACTCATCTCAAAAATTCATTTTAATCAACAAAGTTGCTAATGAATTTGCCTTCTGTCTTGTTTTTATCTAGACAGTGAGTTAGTTCATTTTTGCATTGCTTGACTAATTAAATTTCACAAACATGAAAAACGGGGTGCTAGGCTTTGTATGGACATATCTTGCGTGTGGTGTTACAAACAATGAGCTATGATTGCATTCTCATCTTAAATAGAATATCTATACTTTGACATACATTCACACACTAATTTCAGTTTTTTGAAAAATTGCCTAATTATCCTGAGCTTATATACATGTATAATCATTTCTCTCCACATCCTGAATTAACAAGTACAACTCATGTTATACTTGCTTCAAATAATGCTTTTGTTATCTCACACAAAACATTGCCAACACTAACACTCACAATATGTGCTTGTCCACTATTCTAATTCATACATGAGCTTTGAATTCAGTATACGTTTGAATAATGCAACAATTATATTATCATTGGTTAAGTGTGAAATGAAAACTAAGCAATGTGACCGTTGTTTCTTCTTGTTAACAGACAAGGTGAGACAGACGAGGGAGG